TTGAGATCTATGATGGATTGAATTCCTTTCCTGAAATATTCTTGCAGATCGCAACATTTATTACTTTAAGTTTCACAGCAGAAACACATACCAGAGGCACTGAAATATATATTTAATGATGTTTCTCAACTCATTAAGAAGAAAGCTGACAGAACTCATATGCTGCGGAGACCACTTCAGCTGGTGAAGCATAAGCCAGTGCCTATCAAATTACTTAAAATGTTGGATTAAATTTCTTGACAATCATAGTATTCAGTGGTGCTATTTAGACTCTGGACAAGTAACTGCATCTAATGATCATGTTACCCTGCAGCTTTGTTAAAGGTAGAGACTATGATCCAGACCGCGATCGAACAGAGAGAAGAAAGTTGCAAAAACTCATAAAATGTGAAGCTAAAGGTGCAATTTGCGATCTACGGAAGGACAATTATTTCTCGTATGAGGTAAAGCAAAGAGACAAGGCATTACTGGAAAAAGAAAGAGCAGCCAACTATGGACGGTCTATAGCTTTTCTCCAAGAGCAGGAACATGCCTTTAAATCTGGACAATTAGGTAAAGGCAGGAAGAGAAGGAGATGAAGGTAACTTACAATGCTGCTGTTCCTTGAATTTTCTCATCAAATTTATCCATCTGTAACATAAATTTTTCGGATTCTTGATTGTGTTGTTTAGTCTTTCGGATTGGATTGGCATACGAGCAGCATTCATTCAATATATTGTTAGGGTACTCATTTGTTTTGTATTTATTCCTTTTTCCAGGAGGCAATGACAACAAGCCTTGCAAAATGTCTGCTACTAAAGATTATTCAGTAAATACCCTAAACTCCCAATTTCATCAAGCTTCTTCAACCCACCAGGCCATGAAATCCATTGCACATTCTTCATAATGTTATAGAATCTTGCATATATCAATCTGCATCTTCCTGGCTGTATGGCAATGTAATTATGTTGAAAAATAAAATTCACACGCAACAAAATCCAGCTAGATGTGCTGAAATACAATACAACTATCCACTCCTTGAATTGAGAGAGAGATCTGTGATATATAGTGATTTGAGAATGGAAAAACATGACTAGTAATATGAGTAATTACACTGTTTTTCGAGTTACAAGAAGTGAACGTACTATTTAAGTACAAAGAAGGTCATAACTATTATGCATTGAGAATTCATAACTATTTTGATTTTAATCTAATTTGTTTTCCATATGATTTTAAAGGCAAACTCCTCCAAATTCACATAATGCATTCAGGATTTTACTTTTCCGAGTGTTTACTATAAAAAAACAAGTTGTAGAAAGGATACCTACATAGTTTTAGCAACACTTGGTCACAGACCACTAGTAGACATCATGATGGCAGAAAACTCCACTCCAAGCATCAAATCTGAGCTGCTTTGTGGGTATGGGAGCTTGGCTTACGCATTTGAGTCGCTATCCCCGCGCATCAGCAGTTGCTCTAAGTCGTAAAGCACTTCACTCATGGATGGCCGCCTGACCCCTTTCTTTGCCAAGCATTGTTTTGTGATCTTTACAAAGTTTCGAAGAGATTCCGGTGGGATCTCTCCTTTCAGATGATGATCCACCAGTTGATCAGAATCTCCCTTCTCAAGACAATGTGATGCTGGTGGAATCAAACATTCGAGATCATCACCACTGCTTACATTCTCATCATTTTCTGCTTTAAGATTCGCAGGCGCCGGCCTTCCAGTGAATACTTCCAACAGCACCAACCCAAATGAATACACGTCTGTTTTTGTAGTAAATCTTTTATCCCAATCAAGATTTAGAGAAGCAATGCTGCCGTCCATACTCGAGCCATTGCTGATTTGGGATGTCATGGTTGATCCAAAATTTGAAATCTTGGCTGTCAAATTTTTATCTAACAAGATGTTGGAGGAATTGATATCACAATGTATGATGGGGCGTTTTTTTCCGGTGTGGAGGTAGTGCAAGCCTCTTGCAATTCCAACGCAAATTTCAAGGCGCTGGTTCCATGACACAGGTTTCTTCCGTTCTTCCAAATGTTTGTAAAGATGATCGGAGAGGGTGCCATTATCCATGTATTCATACACGAGGAACATCTCGAGGCCTTCTTGACAAAAGCCTCGCAGAGGGAGGATGTTGTGGTGGCGAATTTGAGAGAGCATTTTTATCTCTTCAAAGAAACCTTCTTCTGATGTTGCTTTAGCCATTCGCAAGATAGCTACTGATGTAGCTATACCATTAATGGAACCTTTGTAAACCTTCCCAAAGTCCGAGTCGTGAATAACCAGTGAATTAGCAAAGTTGTCAGTTGCCTTTCTAATGTCATCATAAGAAAAAGAGCAACAGTGGGATGAATCCTTGGTTTTTTTCATTTTCCAATTGATCACCAAGAAAACAACGAAAAAGAAAAAGCGTGGAAATGCCCCACTAATTAAGTACTTAATTTCCTTTGGTAATCCTTTCTTCGACTTTTTGGATGGTGCAGCAGAAGGCTGAAACTTAGACTCATCTATGGGAGGGTTGAGTCCAGCAAGCGTTTCCATCGAAAGTTGCTTTATCTTGAATATCTCCACTCCATTTAAGATTGCATCGTAGTACTCAGGTTTAACTTGGATGTTGGGTGTAGCTCCAGCCATAAATCCTGCTTCCCAACAGTTTGTAGCGGAATCATCACAACATAGTCTCGAATATACAGGATACCATGCCCCTTACTCCATACCATCACATCTGCCTGGTTTTCAGCTGTTTTGATTATTGATGAATATGAAAACCACCCTCTGGTTTTCCCAAGGTCACTACCAGGCACAATCTCACAGCAAGTGGAGCCTGATAGATATTTTAAACCAGTATCCACTGGAAAGAACCAGCTCAAGTTGTCGTTCTTCTCATTAGTCTGACCCATCGAACGAGCTGTGCGGTAGACATCTCCAGGCGCTGTGTAAGCTGGAACCATCTTTGAATATTGAATTGGAAGAGTGAGATCATAATCTTGCTGGCCAAAAGCAGC